TAACATGTACTAGCGGAATGATCTGATATTGTAAAATGATTTTTTTTATATGTTGCGCACCGGGTGAAGAAGCAGTCATGTAACATCGACGGTTCCTCCTGTTCTCTTGAGCACTTAAATATAATCAACCAATAATTAATCCACTTTTGATCAAGTCTACAAATTACTGACTTAACTCGATCAATAACCGATCATGATTATAGTCGAGTCAATTCACTATTCCCGGGTTGACTAAGGTGGTTGTGCCTGCACAGAGAATTTTTTTAATTGTGACCACATCAATAGCGACTATATCGAGGTTAGACTGTATATGAAAAATGACCTGTTCTTGGCAGCAGAAGGGTAATATTTCATATATGTACTTCATAATAATGAGATTATGCTAAAAATGAAGAGACATAACAAATGAGAATAGACTTTGAACTGTGGGCATTATTTAAAATAAATGAATCAAGACAAGCAATTGTAAATTTAGACATCAAGCACCTTCTGTGCTCTAATTAAGCCTTTTTTTTTTTTAAAAAAAAAAAGACTGGTTTGATTTTAATTGGCTTGCCTAATTTCCACCAAAGTTCTGATTAATATTCACTTGAATATAAACTATAACAATGACTGGCAAATTTATAAGCGAAATATCCCAATGCTGTAACAATAACCTTTATTAAGATTTTTTTTAAGAACCGTATCTTTTACGTATCAATACGAAATAGATAATTATTACTATTTAATAGTCAATGTTTTATTTAAATTTAAAATTTTAACGTTAATGTTTTGTTACTTGATTTTTGTTGTCAGGCTCGGAATCATACGTACGTACTGATATGTATTTAGACGTTCACATGACGAAAATTTCGATTGTAAACTAAACTAACGCTAATATGTGATTATGCTATCTATATGTGGTAAGTGAAATTATAATACATAATCACAAAAAATTATTTAAGGTAAATTACAGATTGATTATTTTTGATTTTTTTTTTAATTTAGATTCTAAATAACGATAAAAATCATTAAGATCAATCATTGTACACATATACGTATGTACACGCCTTTTCTTTATTTGACCATTTAAAAGCATATAATTTGATTTAGCCATTTTCTTATTTAACATTCAGCCACAAACTGCATTTTGAACAATCGTAATTGTTATTTCAAAACAATATTGTTTCGGTTTCACAATTAATCACATGAACTACCATATACTCTAGCATCAACAGAATTTGAGTTTATGTATCTCCAACGCCTTTTGGTTATCGTTACATTAATATGACTTTGAAATGTATGCATATCAATCTTTTAGATATCAATAATTGAATTCCAACTGAATAACGACCCTCGATTTAAAGATTGGAACTGGTTTTCCATAGTTTCGGGCCGAATTATATCATGGCCAAAATTATCCTAATGATGACTAATGTTCCGTAAATGGGTACCCGAATTGGAACCGAAGGGAATGTTTAACATTCCGCTGTCAAGCAATTGGGTAATGATAGAAGGTGACTTAATCATTATCCAATAGCATAATGTTAAAAATCCCCTGCGGTTCCAATTCGAGTACCCGTTTGCGGAACACTAACTAATATTAACAAGGTTAAACGGTTAACCGACTAGGAAAAATTTTTAAGCGGATCCAATCCGAGATCATCATTTTTGTTTGAATGTAAAAAACTGACAGATGGCTATCGCTATTGAATGAGATACGTACATGTGACTTGCATTCATAAAAACGTTTTTGGAATATCAATATTGTTTTGATTAAAATAAGTACGTACGTAACTAAGTACAAGCAAATAGTTAATACTGAGTGTACGTATTTGTGCATAGTTGACACGTTTAAAAGCCCTAAAAAATCACATGCATTTGCATTTTGATATAGCACCAAATTAGAAATATGGGACAATCTAGACCGCAAGATAGAGCCAAAATGCCCGATGTAACTTTATAAATATTTGTATAAATAATATAGGTTTTCTTTGAAGGTATCTGATTAGGAAATTAGAGTATGAATTATTTATATATAACCCATGTTTTGCATATTTAGCCATAGAAAGAGTCCAGACATGAACTTATAATATGTAGTAAGTCTAGATCATTTTTCTTTGTTCCAAATATTATGGCTGGGGTTTCTCAGGACTGTTCTAGACCGCGACCATAGCGATCTGTTGGTCAATCTGATATGAGTGATACGGAGAAATTGCTATCGTGCGAACTAACATGTAACAATAATTGCAATAATTGTGTATATCGTAAACGCATTGTTTTTTTTTTCCTAAACTTTTTCATTTAGTTTTACACTTAGCAAGCAGAATTTTATTTTATCTGAACTCACAAGTCGGTAATTCGAATTTTGTTAATATTTTAAACAAAGAATCTAGAGTATCTTGACGGGATTTCAAAGTAGATCTTTAAGCATGTGGGATGATCGAGAAGATCATTACGTATCAGTAATCCAACCAGTTTAACCCCAAATACGTAATTTGCCAGCTTCATAACAGGATTTCTCTTTGTGATAAATATCAAGGTTCGTTATCACCGGATAATTTAATTTATGGCATGTACATATGTACATACATACGCGTACTCGTATCACTTGTTAGGATTGAAGGACAATTGTCCCGGAAAGATCACCAATTACAAAAACAAAAATATGTCACAATTTTTGAAAGCTTCGGAAAGTAAGATGCATATGAATGGACAATTTAACGTTAACGTTAATGCATATACCATTGACCATTAATCATATGCATGCGAGTTCATGTGGTGTGGACGTTGCGTCACATTATCACCAGCAAAAATAATTAAAATAAAAACAAAACAGGGATGTAGGGTCTAGAACTTCAAAACTAGCTCATCATATGATTACAATGTATCAATGTCTTTATTTATTCAGAAACAGTGTATTTATAAAAGACGGTCATCGCAATTACAATAATTTTTTTTTCCTTCAAAACTTTGACAGTTTAATTCAAATAATATGTCTGTATGTATTTTTATAAAATCCATAATTTAAGCTGAACTAAACTGAATTTAAACATCATTGATTTATTAATTTATTTTCCATCTATATTACAGTTAACACAATTTCGAAACTCAACACCTCAATCTCTACGCAATTTGCCTGAAAATGTATCAAACAGAGCATATGTTGTCGCATTCGCTGTAAAAGAAGCTTTTGCAATCTCAAAATTAGGAAATCGTAATAGCAGTGGTAGTGGTAGTAATCACGATTGGAACATAGCTTGCCAAACTATTTTAGATAACCGATTACTTACCACATCCGAAAAGACCACAATTCTCTCCTTGTTGAGGTGAACTTGATGTAAGTTGGTTTTTTTACTATGTTAATCAACACGAATTTTTCGAATATTCATTTAAATTCTTAAAATTTTACACCATTTTTAATATTTTGATTATTTTTATTTTTTAGAATACATCTGACTCGCACGTCGACGTCAAAATTCTTTTGTAATTAAAAAGTTTATTGTCCAAAGTTCAACAAAAATGTCAATAGAATTATATTATAAATTAGTGAACTTTTGGTACAAACAATTCATATAACTGTACAATATTATTTCGTGTCAATAATCTGCAAGATTAAATGAATGAATTTATTCTATACGTATACATACAATTATAAATGAATTTATCAATAATAATAATAATACTTATTGTAATACTTATTGTAATACTTATTGTGGCCTCTTGATGAGCTGCAATTCCAAAAATTGGACACTTAAAAAATTTTGTAATATCTTTTTGTAACATTTGAAAATTCAACTAACGTATAATAGAGAACACAAAATAAACTTACCGAAAAATTTTCTAAAATCTCATATATAATTGCTTTGTAATCACTTTTAAGGGGTGACCGTCTAAAGTTGGATAGTATCAATTGATGGCTTGTTTTCTTATTGTGCGTTTTATAGGATCTGTAATTTCTACTATTGGATTGCTGATCTTGGTCGTATGTTGTTATACCCCTACATTATTCTAGCCATACCATACTTGTATGCGTTATTTAACCCATCCGGGAAAAGGTTTTGTCAGATTATCAATATTATTAAACATACTGTTAGATCCAATAACGTGATAGAAATTGGATGCCGGGACCCACGTGATAGCGGTTACGACGATCAATTCCTCG